CCAGTGAATGTGCTAATCATGTTTTAGAGTTGTTATTTGATTTTCCCATGGTTTGTGATGATTTGCTAAGAGATGCTATGATGTATTTGGGGGTCCCTGCCTTCTCCAAAGAGTGTATAAAACTCTGCAAACCCTGGGCTCCGGGCCTCTCAGCGTCACCAGTTGCTGTGTGAGCACGGAGGATCGAGCTAGCTGCAATAAACACCTCTTTGCTGTTTACATTGATCTTGGTCTCTGGTGGTCTTTTGGGGGTCCCAAATTCAAGCATAACATCCATATCTAGAGGCAGAACTGTGACAAGCAGTGTCAGACCTCCTCCTCTTGAAAGTCATTGATGGTGCAGTGCTCCCTTTCCAGCCTGCTGGGCCTGGAGCCTGGGCACCTGTGCTTCATGCTGAGTCTCCTAAAGACAGCTGCTTAGTTGCTTAAAGGACTCAGAGACAGATTGAGAGGCAGCTGGGTACTCACATCCTGGATGCAGTCCCAGATAACCGGAAGTAACACCAGGGCTGTAAGGATGGACAAGAGCAAACATCTCAGTAGTGATCCCTGAGAGTTGGGGCTGTGGCCAAGTTAAGGCTCCTGCTGCTGAGGAAGTGTACTCCAGAGGGCAGAAGGATGGTGCAGAGCAGGAAGACCAGGAGCAGGAGGTGGAATGGGGAAGAAGACCTCAGAAATCTGCTCTGTCTCAGGTATACAGACAGCTGCTAAATGTGTCATTTTAACCTCATGACAAGAGTAGGAATGTTGAGACAAATCAGTGTCCAGTTAAAAAAGTGAAAACAGAAATGTTTTAAAATGTTGCTCCAGTCCCCAATTAAACAGTGAAATGAATTATGATTTATAGAGAAATATTTAAGGGAAAATAAATGTACATCTGGGCCATAGGAGAAGGGTTGGAGGCATACAGATATACTTGACATTTCTTTGGAAGAATATGTGCTGCATTTGTTTCAAAGATCCACTCTTGTTAACATGCATTGTGCACATGTCTCTCAATTTAACTAAAAAGCTTTCCTGTGCTACATTAGTTTAATTTCCCTGGAGACAGGGAGGGGCTCAGCAGCATATGGCACAGGAACATAGTAATCAATAGGCAGATTTAAGAAGCCTCACAGGGGAGTCTTGTTGGAAAACAGGCCTTCAGCATCTTGGAGTTCCACCCTACCTTGAGCCTACCCATGTAAAGTTGCTTTCCCACAGGCGTGAGCCTCTCTTGGGAAAAACTGGAGCACGCAACACAACTGCCACTGAGCTTTGACATTTGAAAGGAATCTTTGTCCTGATATTGGGCCTCATACCTGCCCTCTAAAGAGCATTCATGCCCCAGCCAGGTCTTGGAAGGGTATTCACTCAGGTGTTAGGCCAGGACTGTTTTCTAGTGTATAGCTGCCAAACCACAGAGTTCCTCTGTTGTGGGTGCTGTGGGACCACTTGGCTGGCTCAGCTTTAAGGATTGCAGAGGTGATTTTAGGCAAGGGTTACAGAAGGTGCCTCTAAGGCCCTGGCCTCTGTCAAAAGGAAGTGTTTGATGTGCAAACCCAGGACTAGGGGACCCTTGGGCTCCTTCACTGGCCTGAGGATAAAGTGCCTGTACTTTGAGCAGTGGAGGACTTATATTTTCAACTCACCCAGATAGCAAGTGGGATAGAAAGCTGTGACCAAAATCCAGAAGACTGTATGTGGGCAAGGTAGCCAAAGTGCAGTGTGTTTACTCATGCAAGAGTGGCCAGAGTGATGGAAATCAGAATGGGTAACTGGGATGGAACCTAGGGGAAAGGGGCCTGAGGCACCAGCAGGGGCACATATGGGAGAATAAAGCAACATCCAGGCTGCGCCCAGAAGAAGGGTATGGGCAGGAAGATCTCCCCTCACTAAGACATTTCACTTTCATTAACCTAAACCTCCTCAGCCCTTGGAACCTGCAAACCTTGGAGGGCTCCAGTTCCTAACCCAAATTAGTGAGTAGCAAAACAAAAACTGGGTTCCCATCCACTAATCACTTGCCTGATAGGGCACATTATGGAATATTTTAAAAGGGATTACCTTGTAAAATTAAGTATACACAGTATCTAATTATTTTTGTATTCAGTTACAAAAAAATCATGTTGTATACATTATATAAAGGTATCTGAGAGAAATATTTTCCGTAATACATTGAGTGTTGGGGTGATTTTTCTTTGATTTAAATCCAGTATCATGGTGCACAATGGTGCCTACCTGTAATTTCAGTGGCTCTTGAGGCAGAGGTACGAGAATCACAAGTAGAAGATCAGCCTCCATGCATTACCCTGGGGTGTGGCTCAGTGGTAAAGCACCACAAACCTCATCCCAGGTTTTAATACCATACCAAGAAAAAAGGGAGTGGGGGAGAAACAGACTAAATGCAAATCTCAATGTCTATTAGCATATAGCCATGACTGAACATAGATGCATCAAGTATATTATGCACAGGAGAGCAGGTATGCTATCATTAAAGATCAGTATAAAACTGCCAAGTATAAATCTGTCAAGCCTAATGTTTTGTCATACAGCTTGTATCCACTGCTGGAGCTGCCAGTGCTTTCTGAGTGCATATTCTGTTGAGGAACTTTGCCTATCAGTTTTAATTCACAAGTTGTGAATATGCCATTAAGACACCCTTAGATTTATTTAGAGCAATATCCTATGCTAACTGGGATTGCAAAAATAGGACTGCAGAGAACAGTTGTTAAACCCACAACCATATTACTAATGTGCCCTAGACATTGGCCAGGGAGACAGATTGTACACATTCACAGTACAATTCTGTGAATGGGGTAATTAAAAGCATGCTTCAAAACACAGCCCTATTAGAGGGGAAAAGTTGGTATTTTTCACTACAACCATTCAGAGTCAAGCATGAAGTTCTGATCTATTCATTGTAAGACGATATCTGCCACCATTAGAATATTTGGTACAAAGATGCATACTTTGTTGGTCTAATTATTGATTCTTTTGTGCTCTTGTTAGAACTACCTCCAAATTTTAATGTAGTCAGTCTATGCATTCACAAACATCATATCATTTATTTTAACGATACATTGTAAAACTGCAACACATTTATAATATTTTTTTCATTGAGAATAAATGATTGATATAGTGGTTTTGGTAAATTCTTGAAGGGACCAAATGCTAGTAATGTCAGTTCAAGGCAGAGCTCCAGTTTTGCAAAATGCTGGATAAGTATTTCTACCAAGGAAGATATCATTAATACCCACAAGTCGTATGACAGCCATTACCAAATACCTAGGACATTACATTTTCATCGTTCAGCAGATCTGAGGGACATTCAAGCCCCCCAAAGTGAGTCTTACATATGCATGTGCACATGCAATAGTGCAGCATGTGAAAACAGGAGGAGGTAGAGCAGGTAATACTTCCCCTGGTTCAGGAGGGCACCAAGCCAACACTTCAGTGAGACTGGGGTAAAGAGCAGGTGCTGTGAGAACTCTGGAAATGAATTGCAATACAGTGTTGGGCAAAGGAGCACTGGGGTATGGAGTTCTTCCTGCATGGTTCTTGGTCATTTTCTTGATTGCCTAAGGAAACTCTAATTGGTTAGTGGAATTTCTGGATGGATTAGGATGCTATTCAAACCACTGTTTGCAGCGTCTGAGCAACTGTCAATACTGATTAAATATACAGAAGGTTTAGACTTGACCCAAAAGAATTCTTTTAAGCCCTTACTTGGTTTGAAAAGCAGATGGAGCTGCTGCAAATTGCTATCTAGAGAGAGACCACTGACAAGCAGTGTCCAGTCCTCCTTCTCTTGAAGGTCATTGAGGGTCCTTCCCTTCTTGCCCTAAGCCACAGTTGTTCATCTTCCTGGTGGTTCTAGACCAGAAGGATGGGGCCCATGTTGTTCTCCCAGGTACACGGCCTCCATTCCAGATGCTGGGGCTGGAACCTGAGTACCTGTGCCTCACCCTGGCTAATCTGTGAACAGCGACCCAGTTACTTCTGGGATTTAGTAAGAGAGAACGTGAAAGCCAGCTGGGTGCCAGCTTTCTGGATAAAGTCACAGGAAACCAGGTGTAACACCAGGACAGAAAGGATGGACAAGGACATAAGTCCTAGTAGTGAGCCCTGAGATTTGGGGATGTGGACATGTTGAGGCTGCTTCCACAGACAGCCAGCTGCTGAGGAAGTGGATTTCAAAACAGGATTAGCTTGAGGAAAAACTGGCAGACCAGGAGCAGGAGGTGGAGGAATAGAACAGGATCCCTCAGAGAACTGTTGAGTGTTAGTTAACTGGGCAGTGCCAAAAGTGTCTCTTTAACATAGCCAAAACACGTTGAGACAACTGAATGACCAGTTGAAAAAGTAAATGCAGAAACATCCTTAAAGGTCACTCCATGTCCCAAATAAGTAGTGCATTGATTTACGATTTAATAGATAAATTATTAAAGAGAAGTCTGGCCATAGGGAAGTGGAAGAGGGCATGCACATTTACATTTCATTTCTTCCAGTGATGTGCGCTGTTTTCCATTCAAACTTCGTTGTTATACCATTGCATTTTGCACTTGTCTCTGAATTCAGAAGAAGAGCCTTGACTTACTGCATCTGTTCAGTTCCCATGGAGAACCAGTAGGAGTACAGCAGCTTGTGGCAAATGAACAGAGTAGGCGCTAGACATATTCAAGGAATCGGATAGGGTACTTTCCTTGGAGACCAGGCCGTCAGCATGCTCAAGTTCCACTTGACCTTGAGCCCACTCATGCACAAAAGCTGCTTTCCCACAGGCTTGAGCCTGTCGTGAGAATGATCGGAACACTCAACACAACTTTCACTAAGGTTTGACCTTTGAAAGGAAACACCAGGCAGCTGTAAACCTCTCACAGGGCCTCGCACATATGCTCGCAAGGGCATTCACACCCCAACCAATCAGAGTCCTGTAGGGGACAGCTCTGGTGTTTGGCCACGTTGCTTGGCAACTACTTCAAAGTGGAGTTCAGCTGTTGAGGCGCTGGGGGGGAGATTTGGCTGGCTCCACTCTAAGGGCTATTATTGGATTGCAGAGGTGATTTTCAATGAGGGGGAAAGAAGGTGCCTCTGAGGTCCTGGCCTCGGCTAAGAGGAAGGTTTTTGGGGTGTGGACTCAAGACCAGGATCCCTTGGACTCCTTCACCAGCCTGAGAATGAAGTGCCTGTGCTTTGGGCACAGAAGGTCTTCAAAAATGAAACTGGTCCTGATACCAGGAGGGATACAGACCTGAGAGCAACATGAAGAAGGCTGTAAGTGTGGGCAACTTAGCCAAAGTGCAGATTATGCTCCATCCTGGAGAGTGGTGTGAAGGACAGACATGAGAAAAACAGTAATAGGGTTGAACCAAGCAGCAGAGGGCCAGGTGAACTGGCAGGGGCACATCTGGGAAAAACAAGCAACTTCCAGGCTGTGCTAAGGAGGAGGGCATTGGGAGGGAGGATCTCCAATAACCAAAGCACTTGGCTTTTGTTTCCCTAATCCACTTCAGCCACTGAGACCTGTAAACCTTAGAAGGAGTTATTGCCTAGGACATATTGATGATTAGCCAAATAAAAACTGGGTTTCTATCTACTATTCGTTCACTTGATATGACACTTTATTGACTACCTTAAATTTGACACCTAGTAAAATTAAGAATAAGTGGCATCTCATTTTTCAAGTACTCATTTATAAATCATGATATATACATATTGTAGAAAAGAGTTTGAAATATTTCCCATAAATCAGCAAGTTCAGGATTATTATTTTTATGATTAAAACCGGTATCAATTAGTGTACACCTATGTATATGTATTGTTTACTGAGGAGCCTTAACAAGAAATCTGTGAATTGGATTTTGTCCTATATAAAAACTTTTCCCCACTGGCTTAATTAGGGGTTTCCTTTTCTCTCCTCAGTAGACTCTTTAATATTCAAATATTTTCACTATTTCAGATCCTTTAACTTTGAAGGGTTGCTTACTACCATCTTGATTACCCAACCATGTTCATACCAACATTTGTTGACAAGCCCCAGATTCTCTGCAAATGCCTCATTAACTTAAATTGCTTGCTCTGAAGGAGGAGAATGGAGGTCACTGGCTGTTTTTACACTTTCCTAATTAGGAAACATATCTTGTCTTTTCAGTTGTACCCCAGGTTCAGGCAGACTAGAGTAAAAATCTTAACAGAGTTCATGTGCAAAATTGGTGATTCCCACTGTTCCTGACAACATCACTTCTCAAAGTTTCCTTTACAGTATTGCTGACTCCCCCTGTCCTTGTCACAGTTTTTCTGTGAACTTGAACATGGAGTGCAGAGCACTGGGTGCACAACATCCAAAAGAAACTGCATCTAGCCACAAAGAACATGGGCACCAAGCAGAAGGCACCCAGCAGGTTCTGGCTGCAGTCTGTGGCCTTGAGCTCAGGTTGTGTCTATGGAGTCATCAAGAATGCCTGATCCTGCCTCCTCGTTCTCAATAAGAAAGCTCATTGATTCAAAAGTAGGAACTCTTTGCATAATGATCAGTTTTCCATAAAACAAAACATACATCAAGGTCTTTAAACTCTTGTGTGCTATATTTTACTGTTGTGACCACAGTACAGATATACCTGCAAGGAACAAAGTTTTGCCTTTCTAGTTTATTCAAATATACTCTTAGTGTTCATAAATGAATTGTATAATAATAGACAAAGGGTTAAATAAGTGGAACAGAAAGTCCAGAAGCACACAAATATCAGTGAAAATTTAGAAGTGTGGTTGGGCTGACATGCCATTTTAGTCATAGTAGAAGTACGATACATGGATGAATAGCCTGTTAAGAGTTTGGAGATCGCTAGACATCATTTTTTGTGGTTGTTGTCAAGAACTTGGGATTGATCAGTGAGGCCCTTTATCATTGAGAAACATCCCCAGCCCTTTTTTTGAGACAGGGCCTTGGTAATATGCTCAGGCTGGCCTGAAACTTGCCATCCTCCTGCCTCAGCATCCCATGATAGGCCTCTGCCACCATGCCCACAAGGTAACTACCTTTTCATTTTGCAATCTCAAACTGCCTGATGAAACATAGATTGAAAATTGTCAGTAATGTATATGAGAAAAATACCAGAGGCAAACACAGGTGCCTCCTTCTACATGTTTATGTGGCAAAACTTTTGCTAAAGTAACCTGAGAACAAGCTAGCCATTGTGTTTTTCTCTTCTCTTTAGAAAACCAGGAATAGACCCCAGGGACTGGCATGCTAAACCCACACATGGCGCTACACCCCAAGGCTAAGAGCAAGCATTCTGAAGTTCAGTTTATCAAAATAAAAATCAAAGTGACCAGTATGCCAGAAAATTTTAGCTAAATCAATGTGCTTTCAAAATATTTACAATGTATATAGGTGGTCGGAAAATATATCTTCATTTTAGAGATGTTTCAAAGAAACTGCTCATCATGAATTTCCCTATGGGCCTCACGCCTGCTAAGCAAGTATCTTTGGTTAAAGTACACTCTGTCAGATCTCAAAGTGACATATGAACATATGAAAACTAACTTCATAGTATCCCTCATTGGAGAATAAATTTTAAGTTATGTTTTTATTTCATTTTTTTCCTAATTGCACTCTACCACTGTGCCACTTTTCAGCCCTTTCAATTTTTTTTTTTTTTGTTTCGTATTTTGAAGCAGGTTCTGGCTATGTGTCTTGAGGACTTGGTAGTTGCTTTGCAATCCTCCTGCCGCAGCCTCCAGTATTGCTAAGATTACAGGCATATACCATCACACCCTGTTGAGTTTTAAGTTTAGATAGGGATCAAGTACTTTTTTCCAGCTTCAATGTGAGTAAAGATGAATTTTTTCTTATACCTTTGCTGTAAAGTGTTAATTGCTTATGCCTTTTCCAACAATTTAATGCACTGCAGTTAAAAATATCTGTGTCCTCAGTCACCATTTCAATTATGCCAGAAGATTCTTGTGAAATAATAAGAGAGAGAGATGACATTTGTAATTTTCAACACAGCTTCAAATAGCAAAGTAATACAAAGAAGCCATGAGACTTTATAAACCATCTGGAGTGCATCCGTCAGAAGAAATAAGTGAACATTGAAGGTGCCATTAATTTGGGCTGGAGTGGGAAGATGTATTTTGGCTTAAGAATTGTAAAAAAAATTTTTTTGCACATAAACTCAAATAGACTATGTTCTCATTTACAAAATATATACACAGAGATCACCCCTATTGGAGGAGGGGCCCAGCCGCCGCCTGCAAGGTAGGCAGACCACGCATCCCAGAGAAGGGGCCCAGCAGCCCGCTGGCGTGGTAGACAGATCACCCCAATTGGAGGAAGGGCCCAACCGCTGCCCGCGCCTGCACGGTAGGCAGACCTGCGACCTGGAGAACAGGCCCAGCGGCCCGCCGGCGTGGTAGACAGATCACCCCAATTGGAGGAGGGGCCCAGCTGCCACCTGCACCTGCACGGTAGGCAGACCATGCGCCCAGAGGAGGGGCCCAGCAGCTCACCAGTGCGGTAGACAGACCACCCCAGCTTGAGGAGGAGCCCAGGCTCTCACACTGACTACAACCACCATCCTGAACCCTGAGACTCAAGCTAGGAATAGACAACGCCACCAACTGGAAGAAATGAAAACAGAGTTCTGAGAGACTTTTTTTTTCTTTTTTTCTTTCTTTTTCTCTCTTCTCTCTCTCTTTTCAGCCATTCACCCAGTCTCCTCTACCCTTCCCCCTTGGGTCTTCGCAACCTCAACATATGTGAAACCAAAAATTGTGCACGAAAAAGGACTTTAACAACTGAATCACCAGAATAATATAATATAGAGGAATTGCATATGCCCCACCTCCCTTCCCTCTTTTTATTTCTTTTCTTTTTTCTCATATATTCTTTTTCCCGCTCTCTTTTTTCTCTTCCCTTCCTTGTTATTTGTTTTCCTCCCTCTTACTCCCTCTATCCCACTTGCAACCCCCGAAATTTTACTATTCATAAGTAGGGTAATCTTATAAATACAGATAGGAATTTGAATCTATACATTCTTCCATAAATTACCCATCTATTGGTTAGAGCTCTCCAAAGTTACTAAGTTAGATTAACCCCATACCCTCACTCCTTTCCCCATAAACATAACATCCTACACCTGAAATTCAGTTTTCTTCAAGCTACCAGAAACAGTATGCCTTTCATGAAACTAATGACTATATTTGTAAACGATAATTGAAACCAACACTGGTAGACATAGAGTCTAGCTATGTGGTGAGCCGCTTCTGCCGTTTCTGCAGACTATGGTCGCCATTACAAGATGGCGCTGGCTCCGCTGTGGTCTGTGACAAACAACTCCTTATTTGGGAGAGTTGGCGCATGGTTTTTCACCACCCTATGAGAAAGCTCCACGTGGCAGCTTCGCATTGGGGCTTGAGATGCTTTATTAAGGCTGGGAGGGGCATCCGAGGGAGGGAAGAAGAAATATCAAGGGCCTGAATAAACTGCTGAAAGAAGATTCCTGAGTTGCGTCTTCCTTGCGGGCAAGGGGTCACGACAAGTGGTGCCGAAACCCGGGAACCAGAACTTTCAGCAGTCAGGGGTGGTGCACCGGTTAGTCCCAGGTAAGTGGGATCCGCGACCAAAGCGGGGTTAGTCCCAATAAGTGGGATCCGCGATCAAAGCGGGGTTAGTCCCAGGTAAGTGGGATCCGCGACCAAAGTGGGGCAGCTCCTCTGTAAAGAAAGAGAGAGCATTACATTTTATTGCAGCTGCACTGTGTACTTTCGCTTTTGTTTTCTGTGTTTCTTTTGTTGTGTCATTTCGCTTTTGTTTTTTGTGCTTCTTTTGTTGTTGTGTCATGGGTGCCGCATCTTCAAGTCCGCTTCTCCTGGCCCTAGATGGCCTGTTACGTTCCAAGGGCCTGGAAGTGAAACATAGTACTTTACAGAGATTTTTACAGAAGATAGATATCGCTGCACCGTGGTTTGCATTTTCGGGCAGCCTTACTGTACCTAGTTGGGATAAATTAGGCAAAGATCTTGACTTTGCTTCTGAGCAGGGCATATTAGAGGGTGGGGTGATACCCCTTTGGAAAATGGTCCGTAGTTGCCTTACAGATGGCAGATGTCAGGAAGCACTTACTAAAGGACAGGCAGTTCTAGAGCAATTACATGAAGAGAAATCGGAGACAGCAGGAAGTGAGGTGCCTCAGGAGGATGGGAGTGTGCGGAGTGTGAAACAGGGGAGGAGACGATTGTATCCAGATCTCAGTACGCTGCGCACACCCCCATGTGAAAGTGGGTCAGAGGAAGAGGAGGATGAGGAGGAAGAGCTCGGGAGGCTGTCTCGTCAGCTAGAGAGTTTAGCTATAGGAGAAGGGAACAGAAATAAACAGGGGCTCAAGAAAAGCGATCCCCCAGATCCACTGCCGTATGGTGGGGGTGTTTCGGGGAGAGCTTTCCATGCCCAAACATGGAGGGCTGTTAACGCTGAGATGGGTCTTGCTTATCCAGTTTTTCAGGATGACAATATGGGAAGATTCCATGAACCCTTAGATTTTAAAATTGTGAAGACCCTGGTGGAGTCTGTGCGCACTTATGGGGTGGATGCCGCCTTCACACTAACTCAGGTGGAGAGTCTGTCTAGATACTGCATGACTCCCTCTGATTGGGCTAGCCTTGTTCGGGCTTGTGTTTCCCCGGGTAAATATTTGGACTGGAGAGCATTTGTGCTAGAGGGCGCAATAGAGCAGGCCGCCCAAAACCATGCGGCGGGACACCCCCATTGGGACAAGGATATGCTTTTGGGGCAGGTAGATTTGCAAATCAACAGACAGGATTTCCTCTTGAGGCATATAATCAAATTAACAACATTTGCATTCGGGCATGGAAGTCGCTTCCAAATAGAGGAGAGGTGTCTGGTAATTTGACCAAGATTCTACAAGGCCCTACAGAACCCTTTTCAGATTTTGTAGCAAGGATGGTGGATGCCGCTGGAAAAATTTTTGGGGATCCTGATAGAGCCATGCCCCTTATTAAGCAATTGGTCTTTGAGCAATGCACCAAGGAATGTAAAGCGGCAATCACTCCTTATAAAAATAAGGGCATAGAAGCATGGATGAAAGTGTGTAGAGAGATTGGAGGACCTTTAACTAACGCAGGTCTTGCAGCTGCTGTCCTTCGGATTGCAAAAGGGGGCAGTCCTGGTGCCGGAACATGCTTCCATTGTGGTCAACCCGGTCATTTCAGACGTGAATGTCCCAAAAAAGACAATTTTACTGGACCTCCTCACGGTGGCCCTTCCAATGGCCTTCATCAACCGGGGCTGTGTCCAAAATGTAAAAAGGGGAAGCATTGGGCAAAAGAGTGTAGATCAGTGAGGGACATCCATGGACAGCCTATTTCAGCTGGGCCAAAAAACGGCCGAAGGGGCCCCCGACCCCAGGGCCCACAAATATATGGGGCAGTGGAGAATGTCACACCCGAACCCGAGACATGGCCATCTCTACGCCATCCCATGAGACGCGGAGAGCCACTACAGGTGCCGCGGGATTGGACCTCTGTTCCACCTCCAGACTCGTATTAACACCTAAGATGGGAGTCCAATTGGTGGAAACTGAGTTCAAAGGGCCTTTACCACCTGGCACTGTAGGTTTGCTAATTGGACGTGCATCCTCTATCTTACAAGGTCTTCATGTCTTTCCCGGAGACATTAGCCCTGATACTGTAGGGACAATAAAGGTTATGGTGGAGGCTCCAAGGGGCATTGTGTCTATCTCCCCAGGGGATCGGATTGCTCAATTACTAATTTTGCCTATCTTACATAATCACTTCCCTGCTGACTCAAGGTCACGGACAGGAAGTGAGATTGGTACCACCGGAGGGAATTGTGCCTATTTGTCACTAGATATGAGCAATCGCCCCACTTTGGAATTAAGCATAGAAGGTAAATCTATTGTGGGATTGCTGGATACAGGAGCAGACCGTAGTATCATAGCCCTTAAGGACTGGTCTAAGGGATGGCCAGTGCAGACTTCTGATCAATCCCTGAGAGGACTTGGATATGCCCAAGCCCCTCAAATCAGCTGTAGACATCTATCTTGGAAGGACCCGGAAGGACACAATGGCACCTTTCAGCCTTATGTACTTGATTTACCTATCTCTTTATGGGGCCGTGATCTGATGAAAGACATGGGGTTCACTCTTAGCAATGACTATTCCCCAGTGTCTCAACAAATTATGCAAAATATGGGGTATAGGCCAGGTCTAGGACTAGGAAAACACCTACAGGGGCATAGGCATCCTGTGCAAGGTCATCAAAAGCTTAACAGATTTGGTCTGGGTTTTTCCTAGGGGCCACTGGGGCTCAAATACCCATAACATGGCTCACCGAGGAGCCTGTTTGGGTGCCTCAGTGGCCTCTTCCCTCGGTTAAATTGGCAGCAGCCCATGATCTAGTCAAAGAACAACTTGACTTGGGTCACATCCAACCTTCTACTTCTCCATGGAATACTCCCATATTTGTTATTAAGAAAAAATCAGGAAAGTGGCGCCTACTGCATGATCTACGAGCAGTTAATGCTCAAATGCAACTTACAGGGCCCATTCAAAGAGGGCTGCCTCTGCTCTTCTCTGTTCCTCAGGGCTGGCATATTATTGCTATTGACATTAAAGACTGTTTCTTTTCTATTCCTTTGCATCCTAAAGACTCACAGCGTTTTGCCTTCACCCTTCCCTCGTGTAAACACGAGGAACCAGATCAAAGGTTTGAGTGGGTAGTGTTGCCGCAGGGAATGGCTAATAGTCCCACGATGTGCCAGATGTATGTGGGGAAGGCACTCGCACCTCTCAGACATAAGTATTCCTCCATCAAGATCATTCATTATATGGATGATGTGTTATTGGCCGCTAAGTTAGAGCAGACAGTTAATGAGGCCTATAAAGAATTAGTAAAGCTGTTAGCTCAATATGGGCTACATATCGCACCTGAAAAGGTTCAAACGGGGAATTCTATTGAGTATTTGGGAGCGATAATTGGGTATGACAAATTAAAACCACAAAAAATCACCATAAGAACTCAGGATCTCCAAACTCTAAATGATTTTCAAAAACTACTGGGAGATATTAATTGGATAAGGGGATATTTACATATTCCTAATGGTGTGCTCCAGCCTTTGTATGCTACCCTTAAGGGTGATCCAGATCTTGCTTCTCCTCGTAGCCTCACCAAAGAGGCTAGAGCGGCCCTTATAACAGTAGAAGAAGCTATACAACATGCTACTCTATGCAGGCTCCAGAGTGATAAACCTTTCCAGTTATGTGTGCTTGCCACTATGCAGCAGCCTACTGGAGTACTGTGGCAAGATGGGCCTTTACTATGGATCCACCCACATATATCCCCAGGAAAATCCTTAGAATACTATCCTGATGCTGTTGCAGCATTAGCACTTAAAGGGATTCAACAAAGCATTCAATTTTTCAGACAATCACCTTCTTCTCTTATTATACCATATACTAAAGCTCAACTTAATGTTTTGTGTGCTACTCTAGACAACTGGGCTATTCTATGTTGCTCGTTTCAAGGGGATATTGATAATCATTACCCTTCCCATCCATTACTCCATTTTGTTAAAGAACATCCCATCATTTTCCCTAAGGTAACTTCACCCAATCCAATTCCGGGGGCTGTTAATATTTTTACTGATGGTTCCAAGTCTGGAATGGGAGCTTATGTAATTAATGATTCTCCCCCTGTTCAGCATCAATTTGCTCCTGGAAATCCACAATGGGTGGAACTGCAAATTGTTATTGAGGTTTTTAAACAGTGTTCTTTTCCTTTTAATCTTATTTCGGACTCCATCTATGTGGTACAAGCACTAAAAGTCCTGGAGGCCGTGGGAGCTATTAGTAATGCCCATAATGTATCTGCTTACTTTAATCAGCTTCAACAGCTTATCTGTAGCCGTACTGCTCCTTTTTATCCAATGCACATCCGGGCTCACACCTCTCTTCCTGGTCCGTTATCACAGGGTAATGCCTGTGCGGACTCAGCCACTAGAGGTCAGTTGATATGCTTGGCTTCCTCCTTAGAGGGGGCTAAATTATTTCACCAGAATTTCCATGTTAATGCTTTAATGCTGCGCAGGCATTTTTCCATTTCAAGAGCGGATGCTCGTCAGATAGTATTACAATGTCCCCATTGTGTCACATTTCTTCATCCCCCTAATTATGGAGTGAACCCACGGGGATTGAAGCCATTGGTTGTCTGGCAAATGGATGTGACACACATACCTGACTTTGGTAACCTCAAGTATGTGCATGTTTCTGTTGATACGTGCTCTGGAGTTATTCATGCTTCTGCTTTATCGGGAGAAAAGGCACGTAATGTTTTTACTCATTGCCTAGAAGCATGGGCAGCATGGGGTGCTCCTGCATCCCTTAAGACTGATAATGGACCTGCTTATACTGGCAGACAATTTACATCCTTTTGTTCTACCATGGGAGTGCAACTTACTCATGGTCTGCCTTACAATCCTCAAGGACAAGGCATTGTTGAGCGTGCTCATCGCACCTTAAAGGAAACTTTACAAAAACAAAAAGGGGGAATAGGAGCTGAACACACTCCTAAAGAACGCCTGTCCTTAGTTCTCTTTACCATTAATTTTTTGAATTTGGATATTCATGGTCGCTCTGTGGCCGATAGACATGTGTCCCCTCAGCCCTCTGTGATTGGCTATGTTAAGTGGAAGGATGTTCTTACGGGCCAATGGAACGGCCCCGACCCCGTGCTGACATGGGCGCGAGGATCTGTATGTGTTTTTCCCCAGGATCGCACGGAACCGTTGTGGGTCCCTGAACGCCTGACAAGAAGAGTCATGACATCAACCGACCAGCAACAAGAGATACCACAGCAATCCCGTGATGAGGATCTTCACTCTGCTACGTGCTCTGGTTCTGGTGCTGGTGCCGATGGCACAGACGACACCAATGCAGTGGTGGGCAGTGGCACGGGCTTGGCCAATGCCGATGCCGGTTCATGGTAATTCTAGTGTCCTCCCCACTCTTTTCTCTACCTCATGTGAGATGTCTGCTCCCTGTGCCTCTCCTAGAGGGGACATGGAGAGCATTTTTAATCAATCTCAAGTTAATCTCACAGGAGTTTTTTGTTTCAGCCTTGGAAACGCTAATTGCATCAGCCTTAAGACCAAAAATTTGACTAACTGGGAGGACCCATTGCAGTCCAATCAGGTCTCAGGGAGTATTATTAATGCCGTACTGAGCCAAGTAGTTTCAGGGAAGCAATCAGGTTCAGGGACCCCTGTAAATAGCTCTGCTTTAAACATAACTACCTTGGCTATGATCTCCAAGGTACTAATCCCAGTGCCTCCTTCTTCTAATAGTACTTACAATGCCACTCATTTCAAGGCCTCTCCTTACTGTACCCCTAATCTTGGTTTCCCCCCAACATTTACGCCTTGTCAGGATCATTCTTGGGAGAAACTTCAAGTTGCTAAGGGTTTCTCCTTTTCCCCCTCTCTTAAGAGGTATGTTTATAACTTTAACCATAGTGCCAACTCCTCTACAGGAGTAGGTTGGTCCTGGTTTCAATGGCTGATTTCCAATGAGAAGGGGGCTTCAGCTGATATTTCTGCATTGGCTCAATTGCTGGGAGTCAAAAGCTGGCTGGCTAATGTTTCTGGCACTGTTAGGGAGAGTGAACGAGGTAATAGACTTACATCTGTTTCGTTCAACTCTTTGCTATATAATGCCACATTGCCCCCTGCGATGGTCTGCGTCCAATCCCCGTTCTTGCTCCTTTTGGCTAATGACACCTCATCGGGGATGCTGGATTGTTCTAGTGTTACCTGTCTCTTATCTGAGTGTTGGAATGGTTCTTGGACTGTAGCAGTGGTTATGAAAATTCCAACCTTTGTCCCAATCCCAGTCACTGCGGACCCAGATAAATTCCCCATTGTTGAGCTACTTAGAGTCCGCAGGGATTTTGGAATTACGGCAGCTATAGTGACAGCTGTGGCAGTGTCTGCTGCTGCAGCGGTTACGGCCGGAGTGCCCATGGCCAGTCAAGTACAAACTGCTGCCACCATTAATCAAGTTGTTCAACAAACTTCCACCATACTTGAATCCCAAAATACAATTAATCAACATATTTTGTCAGGGATTTTCGCTGCCAACCAAAGAATAGATTTACTCCAAGCTCAGGTAGAAGAATTGGCTGACTTGGTGCTTTTGGGTTGTGTTGACCAACGTGCACATTTATGCATAACCTCTGTCAGATTTAATGATTCCAGGAATGCCTCCCGCATCATTGGTGAATATTTGGCAGGAAATTGGTCCATGGCAGCGGAAGACATGATCCAGTCTCAACTAACCCAGATAGCTGTCTTGAACAGTACCCGTGTCGATCCCGTGACTTTGGGTCAATTCACCGATTGGATATCTTCTGCTTTTTCCTTCTTCAAAGAGTGGGTGGGGGTAGGCATTTTTGGTGCAATGTGTTGCTTCGGTATGTTCCTCTGTTTGTGGTTTCTCTGTCACCTTAAGGCCCGCAGTGCTCACGATAAGGCTATGATCATACAAGCTCTTGCAGCTTTAGAAAATGGCAACTCACCTCAAGTCTGGCTTGCGCATCTTAAACAGTAAACCTTTGACATGGTCGTTACACCCCAAGTTATTATAACATTGCACTGGGATCGACATGACTTTCCTTGTTATTCTCTTAGTGTTGGAAAGCCCTTGCACTCTGCCGGTCTTACTGCCATTGCACGCAGATGGGTTTCCACACTAGTGCTTTTCTATCGCCTTAAAGTCCGTGCCTTTCTTTCAGGGTGCTGTCAACTTGTTTGTCATTATAAACAGCCACCGTTCAGCCTCAGCTATCCCCCTTCGTCCACCATCGTCACGATACAGGATGCGAGGCAAGGCACTGGACTTGAGTGATCCTTGACGTGGACCTCAAGGAGAGCATGTCCTATTGCATGCGGGTTAGACGCGTCCACGCCCCGCCCCACGAAAAAAGGTGTCGGCTGATATGGCCTCAGATCTGGGGAAGGGCCCTCCTTAGGACTGAGCCATACTATGCAGCCACTTCTGCACAGTGGGATAGGACCTCTACTTTCGCCTGTATTGTTTTAAGAAAACAGAAAGGGGGAACTGTGGTGAGCCGCTTCTGCCGTTTCTGCAGACTATGGTCGCCATTACAAGATGGCGCTGGCTCCGCTGTGGTCTGTGACAAACAACTCCTTATTTGGGAGAGTTGGCGCATGGTTTTTCACCACCCTATGAGAAAGCTCCACGTGGCAGCTTCTCATTGGGGCTTGAGATACTTTATTAAGGCTGGGAGGGGCATCCGAGGGAGGGAAGAAGAAATATCAAGGGCCTGAATAAACTGCTGAAAGAAGATTCCTGAGTTGCGTCTTCCTTGCGGGCAAGGGGTTGCGACATAGCTATAAATGTAGTAATAAGGAAAACGTGTGCTTAGATGATGTACTATTGATATTGAGAACTGTTAACATTGTCTTTCTCCAAAAAGGGAGACTTTGCAACTATAAAAGAGCAATATAAATATATAGGTGGAAAATTCAATAACACAACAGTTTCACCAAGCAGAAAGAAACACGAGCAGTATGAAAAGACAAGGAAAGAAAGGACCACAAGCAATGCAGGTCAACTCAACGTTAGAAGAGGTAATATCTGCAGCAGATGGAACGTCAGATAAAGAATTCAGGATATACATGCTTCAGATGATCTGGAGTCTCAAGGAAGACATTAGACAGCAAAATCAGACAATGAAAGATCATTTCAACAATGAATTACATAAACAAATCCAAGAAGCAAAACATCAACTATACAGGGAGATAGAGGTTATAAAAAACAAACAAACAGAAAACCTAGAAATGCAGGAAGCAATAAACCAAATTAAAACTCAAATGAGAGTACTACCAGCAGAGTAGAACACTTAGAAGATAGAACATCAGACAATGAAGACAAAGTATTTCAACTTGAAAAGAACATAGACAGCTCAGCGAGACTGTTAAGAAACCATGAGCAGAACATCCAAGAAATATGGGATAACATAAAGAGACCAAACTTAAGAGTCATTGGGGGAGGCTGAGCCGCCCCCTCCCCCTGCGCCGGCAAAGTAGAGGGAACTGTGACCACACACAGAGCAGGCCCAGCGGCCTGCGGAGGGGCAGAGCCGCCCCCCACCCCCCGCGCCTGCCAGGTAGGGGAACTGTGACCACGGACAGAAAAGGCCCAGTGGCCCGCGGCGGGACAGAGCTTCCAATCACTCCTGCAAGGTAGGCGGGCCTGCGACCCACCGGCAGAAGAGGAGCAGCGACCTGCTGAGGGGCAGAGCCGCCCCCTCCCCCTGCACCGGCAAGGTAGAGGGAACTGTGACCACGCACAGAGCAGGCCCAGCGGCCTGCTGAGGGGCAGAGCCACCCCCCCACCCCCCGCGCCTGCCATGTGACCACCGACAGAAAAGGCCCAGTGGCCTGCGGTGGGACAGAGCTTCCAATCACTCCTGCAAGGTACGCGGGGTTGCGACCCACCGGCAGAAGAGGAGCAGCAGCCTGCTGAGAGGCTGAGCCGCCCCTCCCCCTGCGCCGGCAAAGTAGAAGGAACTGTGACCACGCACAGAGCAGGCCCAGCAGCCTGCTGAGGGGCAGAGCTGCCCCCCCACCCCCTGCGCCTGCCAGGTAGGTGGAACGGTGACCACCGACAGAAAAGGCCCAGTGGCCCGCGGCGGGACAGAGCTTCCAATCACTCCTGCAAGGTAGGCAGGCCTGCGACCCACCGGCAGAAGAGGAGCAGCGGCCTGCTGAGAGGCAGAGCCGCCCCCTCCCCCTGCACCGGCAAGGTACAGGGAACTGTGACCACGCACAGAGCAGGCCCAGCGGCCTGCTGAGGGGCAGAGCCGCCCCCCACCCCCCGTGCCTCCCAGGTAGGTGGAACGGTGACCACCGACAGAAAAGACCCAGTGGCCCGTGGCGGGACAGAGCTTCCAATCACTCCTGCAAGGTAGGCGGGCCTGTGACCCACCGGCAGAAGAGGAGCAGCGGCCTGCTGAGAGGCTGAGCCGCCCCCTCCCC